ATGAATTTGCAAGCGTGAATCAGAAACACTTCCATTTAATATATGTGCAAATAAAATATGATGCGCAAAATTATTAATGATTCCTACTAGTCTTTCTCGTGATAAATTCTAGGCATATTTATATATATATATATATATATATATATATATATATATATATATATATATATATATATATATATATATAGTAGACTTGATTATGTCTTTATATTACAAACTATGTGTATCATAAAGAGCTGTATACTTCCCAACCTCTATGAGAACAGCGACATTCAATGCATTTACAGCTGCACTCAGAAAACAATCGTCTTTGATACCATGTGGTTTTGTTTTTGATTGTCAGCAGGTTGCACAGTTATAGTTTTAATGATTTTTATACAAATATTATTATAATAATATTTATAAGCAATCAAATTAGTATGCAAGCAAATTAAGATAAACTGATACTTCCAAAATTGCATTTAGCCTGCAGTCAATACTGCTCTGTTGATTTAAGTCACTTTTTAAAAGTTGCTAATGAATGTTGTTAAAATGAATGTTAAAACCTGTTAAATTTGCTGCTAGGTGCTTTTTTAAGTTTTTAAGTTGAAGTTGAGTATTATGTTGTATGAAAAGTTGCTAAATCTGGCAACACTGTTTTTAAATATGGATTCATATTTAAATATATTCAAGTATATTAAAAATATATATTGGTAACATTTATATTAGCCAATATATTATAGTCCATAATTTTAAAAACAATGAAAGTAACATGAAATACAGTCAAACATCTAGTTAAATATCATCATAATTAGTTTCCAAAGGATCAGAAGAGATATGTGAATAAAAACTATATTTTTGAGCACCAAATAAATTGAATAATTCAATAAACCACAACCAGTCACAAACAAAAAGAGTTCATATTGATTTCAATGGATGCTAATGTTTTCACAGCTGTATGAAAGCTGAGCAAACAGTGAACTAAAAAGTCATTACTGTGGAAATGAAATATTGTCTAGTCTCCTCACATTTCTGCAAATTCACACAACGCACACACACTTCACGAGTTGCCATACTTCTTATTAGCTTGCTTTCCTGCAAGCCTCTAAGCCAAATAGCACAGGCTTATTAATTCAATAATACGCTGTACATTTAGCCCGCTATTTATTAAATAAAAATAAAGCAATGAAATAAGAGTGAAGGTTCTGGATAAAAAAAAATCTTAAAACAGGCGTTTAGACAAGATGTATTCAAACAATAACATGAAATTAATGTGAAGGCAAAAACAGTAAAGTATCTCAATTGACCACTAGTGACAGGTTCACAAAAAACATAATAATACCATTGGAAACATGCTACACTGCTTTTCTGCTTAGAACGACAAGAGCAGAACATCCCATGCACTGCCTTTCTGATTAATAAATTCTTTTTTTTTAAAGAAATTCAAAGATAAGACATAAAAACCACCCTGTTTTCCATCCGCCTGCTGCATAACAAATGATATCACCCACGCGCTGTCACCTTCCATTCATTATTAGTGGCTGCCTGTCTTTGTTACTATCAGACAAATTCAGTCTGACTTCACATCGTATATTCTTAGAGCTCAGAACAAAAGAAGTATTGTTCTCAGAAAGCAGAATTTTCCACTCTCTCCACGAATGCAGTTATTTCAGCTTTTATTAGTTTCAAATGACCGTAAATCGGTCTCCAAGCTTTCTGTTGAGGTTCATTAAGTTTTTTTTGTCTTCGTTATTCATTCAATTCAGCCAGGCTTTCAGGCAAATATCATGAAAATGATGGCAAATTTAAGCTATATTACATTTTCTCCTAAGAACTTTAAATGAATACGTACTGTGAGCCTTAAATTACTTTTAAAAATATCTTGTTTGTGAATGTCTCAAAGGCAAATATAATGGCCGTCTATAATGTGCTGTAATTCAGAGTGAACACCTTATTCAACAGATATGGAATATATATATATATATATATATATATATATATATATATATATATATATATATATATATATATATATATATATATATATATATATATATATATATATATACCACTCACTACAACGTGTGCTTTATGCCATATATATATACATTAGATGTCGCCTGGCCTATTGTTGTCTACTGGATATAAGGCGTCAATATCGCCGCCATCATGCTACAGGGGAGCGCTCGATCCTTTAAAATGAATGCGGGACCATGGTACAGTGGAGGACTGTGGCCATCCAAAGCCAGAGATATACACATATATCTATGATCGGGAGTTCTCCTGGATGTTAGTATGTAATTTTTTTTTCTAATTACGAAAATTATAATTTTACATCAAAAAAAGCAAAAAGCTTGTGTTTGTGTGTACAGAAATGTTCTATCCACCCTCCCTGTTAAATCTGATCTAATCATGTCCTGAAACACAGCTCCTCTCCTGCTTTCACTGCTCATACTGACGGAGGA